TTTTTTTTTACCCGTATTATCCCATTTAAAATCTTTAAATCGAGGATCGAGTATTGTAGCAATTTGAACCAATTCCGATTGTGCTGACCACAACTCATCAAGTGATAAGAAAATAGCTGCCCGAACTTTTTTAAGAAGACCAGTAGTATCGGCAGCTGGTAAATATTCAACATTATTGAAATCATCTATATCCTTTTCAGAATTTTCTTTCCTGGCATTTTTTTTATGTCTATAGGAGCTATTTGCTTTTTCTTTACCTTTTCTTCTTCCTTTTCCTTTAGTTAACCGCATTTTTTGTCTAAATTGGCGATGAGCATATTGCCAATGTCGACGTGAACCACCAGATGGAATTTCATCTTCTTCACTTGTTGAACTATCTGAGTCTTCTATTTCTTCATTATCACTTTCACTTTTTGGCCCATATATCAAATTGAAGTACGTATCATAAGTTTCTCCACTTTTATAGTTAGGTTCAAATGATTTTTTTAATAATTCTATATAAGGATGAACGAGACTTAAAGTACAGTATTTTGCTCCACATATTCGACGTGTTATTTTTTCGAATGGTAATAAAAGTTTCACCACATCTTGAAGAAATCTTTAAAAAATAAAAAAATAATAAATCAATTAAAAATAAAATAAATTAAAATTAGATAATTGACAATAAGGTTAATATATAAATTATTTTATTTAGAGGCTTGTGCGATCTATAAAATATATAGAGATTGTACCCGTCAAGAAAATCTTTACCCAGGTAATTTATTATAGCCATATAATAAAAATGTCTACCCGAGTACAATCTCTAAAAATATATTTTTATATAATCTAGCTTAAAAATTTTTAAATTTTGTTTAGTTCGCACAGGCCTCTACTTTAAACTTACTGTTTTTCTTCAAAAGATAAACATAGTTGCTCTAGTTTTTCTCCTTCTTGCTGTGACTTTCGATCAGATTTTGCCAACAATGTAGTAGAAATAGATCGCATTGAATTATGTAAGTCTAAAATTCTTTTCCACGCATAATACACAGAATTCCATCTGGTCTTAACATCAGTTAAGACTTCGAGTGGATTATGATAGTTATCTTCTGATAAATATTCATGCTCTTTTTGAGCTTCACGAAGTCTCTGGGCCTGTTTTGGCAAACGAAAAAAAGCCTGTAAACACTTTACTCGACGATGAATTTGTTTGCATTGTTTTAAACCTTGTAAGACTGAGAGTTGTAATGTGTGCGCAACACAAGGCTGCCGTCTAACTTGTGATAAAAATTCTTCATTTAACAGTTGAACACTTTTTATCATATTCGAACCATTATCAGTCACAATGGTTAATATTTGATTTGACAAATTCCAGCTATTTATAACCCGAAATAGCTCAGCACTAATAACTTCACCAGAGTGTGGATATGGAAGATGATTGCAGGATAAGAGTGCTTCACGAAATTCAAAATCTGATGTTAACCACATAGCTGTTATACCAAGATAACCATGACGTGATTTGGAAGTCCACAAATCAGTTGTTAAATGAATAGCAACAACATTACTATTTAAAAGTAAATGAAGCTGTTCTTTACTCCATAAAAATGAATCATAAATTATGGCTTTAACTGTTTTGTCACACGGAATTGGTTCAAATTGCTACAATACTCGATCCTCGATTTAAAGATTTTAAATGGGATAATACGGGTAAAAAAAAA